ACTGTTTAGGGAGTAGCGAGTAGTGAGTAGCGAGCAGTGGGTAGTGAGTAGTGAGTTGTGGGCTGGAGTAGTGAATTGTGAGTACTCCGTAGTCATTAGTGGCTAGACGAGAATAGTGAGTGGTGTGTAGTGAGTAGTGTTAGGTGAGTTGTGAGTATTGAGTAGTGGGTAGTGAGTGGTGAGTAGTGCGTAGTGAGTCGTGAGTAGCGAGTAGGGAACGGTGAATAGTGAGTAGTGGGTAGTGGGTCGTGAGTAGTGGGTAATGAGTGTGAGTCGTGAGTCGTGACTAGTGAGTAGAAAGAAGTGAGTAGTGAGAAGTTAAAAGTGAGTAGTTTGTAGTGGGTAGTGGAAGTGGGTACTGTTTGGGGTAGGGCTAGGGTTTGGGATTCGGGTTCGGGGTTAGGGTAAAGGTGAGGATTAGATTTCGGGGTGGTAAAGGTCGGGTTCCTGAGCCAGGGGGCGCCGTGGCGAAAGGGGGGAAGGGGAGGGGGGGGGCTTGAATCAGGCTGCCAAAGTGGGGGAGGGGGGGGGTACGGACCTTTAAAGGGGGGAGGGGGGGTTCGTTGACGACGGACCGGGAAAGGAGGGGGGGGGGGGGGGGTCCCGATGGCGGACCGGGAAGGGGGGGGAGGGGGGGTCCCCGACGACGGATCGGGGAAAGGGGGGGGGGGAGGAGTTCCCACCCCCCACCCCCTGAAGAGATCCAGCGGCGCGCCCTCCGAATGATGATCATGAGGATTCGGCACCAAATCATAGGAGCTGCGTATGTCCTCAAATCTCAGTCGTTGAGTGAACTCGGGTGCGCTATGGGTAGTTGATGAGAAAACGCCAAGTCAGTGTCGACGATAACAGATTAGCGTCTGCGAGTTAGCATTGATTAGGGTCTGCCAGCGTCGATTCGCAGGAGCCAACAAGATGACATGGGAGGCTCCCAAAAGTTGCCACAGAAGGAGGAGGAGGCCGCGCTCGACGAACCATCAGGCCGATAAAGAGAAAGAGAGAGAGAGAGGGAGAGAGAAAGACAGAGAGAGAGAGAGAGAGAGAAAGAGAGACAGCACAAAAAACATTAGGAGGTGGAGGAGTGGGAGGAGGGGGAGGAGGTGCAGGAGGAGGTGCAGGAGGAGGTGCAGGAGGAGGCGGAGGAGGCGAGGACGCCCTTGGCCTCTGTGCTCGCAGGGCCACTCCAGCAAGGGAGGAGGCCTGGCGCCAGCGCGGGCGCAGCGGGCGCTCCCCGCCCCGCGCTCCGCAGTGCTGCCCCTTCGCCGTGCACGGCAACGGGGGCCGCGCGCCATGGCGGTGGCAGCTCCGGCGCCGGCGGAGGCGGTGGCGGAGGAGGAGGAGGAAAGGGAGGAGGAAAGGGAGGAGGAAAGGGAGTAGGAGCAGGAGGAGGGGGGGAGGAGGTGGAGGAGGAGGAGGAGGAGGAGGAGGAGAGGAGGAGGAGGAGGTAAGGAGTCACCGAGCGCTGTCCCTGATTCGTGAAGCGTCGATTCGCAAACGTGCGAAAACAAACACATGTTTGCCTCCATGTTGCCGATCGTCGATCCCCCGCGGTGGATCCAGGCCATTTGCGAAGCGCTTCTCTTCGAGTAGTGACATGCGTTTGTCTGAGGAGGGTTGACGAGGACCGAGGAGGGTCGAGAAGGACCGAGGAGGATCGAGGACCGATGAGGATCGAGGATCGAAGAGGAGGAGGAGGAGGAGGAGGATCGAGGAGGCTCAGTGAGGAACAAGGGCGGCCAAGAGTCTCGACGGAGAAACAGTGGCGTAAACATGAACCTTCGGCGCCCCGCTCAGATTTCTTGGTTCCGCGCTGGGCCCACTTGAGGCGCCTCCGGCGCCGCCCTTGGCGCGCTCCTCGCGCCAGGGAGGTGGTCCAGCGCAAATCCAAGAAGTCCATGCGGGCCTCCGAACATTTTCGCTTATGCAGTCCTTGTTTTTCCACGGGGGGAGGAGCCTGGAGCGGCCAAGAGACTACCAGGCTTCCAAGATCGGGTCAGAGATGGTGTCGGAGGATCGCGCCGATACGTCGCCAATGCATCGCCGATACATCGTTGATGCATTGGCGATGCGGCGCGATCCTGCGACCCTATCTACGGTAGGTTCGCGTCGTGTCGACCGGCGGCGACCCCGCCGCCGACGTTCAAGGTTGAGCGCCGCCGGCGACCCAGAATCGATCGATGCTGAACGATCGGACGTTGCGGCAGCGGCCGATCGTTCAAGGTTGAACGATCCCTGCGGTGTCAAAAACCAACGCTGGGGTCGGCACGACACGAACCTGCCGCACTCGGACCCCATCCAGGAGGCCTCGAGGGGAGGAGCTGGGGGCGGCCAAGAGAGGTGTGACGACCACGCTCCCTGTGGAGAGAGGTCTGTCGAATTGGTTCCCGCCATGCCACAGCTCACCAGGACGAGGGCGAAGCTTGTTGCGTCCGCAGGCGGAGGGGAGCACAGAGAGCCCAGGGGAATGGAGTCGATGAGATTCTTCCCTTTCTTCCCTCTCCCTGGAGACTCGAGGAGGCAAACGCGGGAGAGGAGCGATGCCCGTGGTTCGGGGCAATTTGAATGTCACGAAGGGTACGTTCGCGGTCGTCACGGGCGCGGGGCCAGAGGCTGTGGAGGATTCTTGTGTGTGGGGTGTGCAGTGCTGGGGAGAGAGGGAGCATATGGCAGATGGGGGAGAACACGGTGACGAGCAAGAAGACGGAGGACCAGCATGACGATGCGGAGGAGGGGAAGGATGATGGTGTTGTTTGGGGGCGGAAGGGGTGGACCTTATTTCGAGCATTGTAGGTAGCAAGGGGAGGATGTTGCAGAGGAGGAGGAGGAGGAGGAGTACGAACAGGAAGACGAAGTGGAGGAGCAGCAGCAGGATTAGTATGATGAGGGTGTCGATATGGTATGGTATGGTATGGCCTAGGTAGGGGATTACGTTGAAATTGAACCTAGTGGGCTGGAGCAGAGACTAGAAATTCAGCGAGGACGGTTTGAACAAGGTCAGCCGACAGGGTGCAGACGAGTCTTCTGCCAGCGACATGAGTGTAGTTTATTTGGGAGACGGGAGGTGTCTTTGCCAGTGGCCGCCGCCATGGCAGCTGTGAGCAGCAGTCCGCCACTTAGCAGCACATTGCGATTCAGGTTTGGAATGGTGATCCTTGGTGAGGCCTGTTGATATTGGCACATCTTTGATGTTTTGCTGCGTGGTTGAAAGTATGACGTCGGAGCGCTCCACTTGGTGGGCGCTACTCTGCCGGTGATTTCAAAGACCGACTTTACAGTATCGGTCAACCTATCCCCATCCTCAAGGCGCTGTAGTATTTCAGCCCCACCATCGTACCACCCCAGTTGGGGATATGCTCTTCGATATCACAAGGAATCAGTCGATATCCCCATCTAGGCAGGTAAATGGGCCTGTGCGGCCCAGGCCACGCCAGCAAGGATAGCGGTCGGTTAAACGATGCTCAAATTATTTGAGAGTAGGGTTGATACTTGGTAAGGGCGAAGGTCAATTTAGTACGCGTACGTCAACTTCTGCTCTGCCGCAAGCTTCACGCCCCTCGTGTCCCCCACCGTCCAGGTTCAGGTGAAGTGGGTAGGGGTCAAGACACCCCCTGGGTAGCAAGCCGTCCAGCTCACTACCACTCGCCCTCCCAACGCATGAGTAGCACAGTAGCACCCGAGGCTGAGCATGTTCAGTGGTCGTCTTTGGATGGACAGCTACTGGGAACAAAAACCGGCCCCATGTGCGCGACGGTGGGGCGAGGAGCGCCACGCGTGCCAGGCGCGCCACGCGCGCCAGGCTTCCCTGGGGCCCGAGCGTGCCAGGCACGGCTGGTGCGCCAGATGCGCCACGTGTTCCGCGTGCGCCAGGTGTGCCGCAAGCTCCAGCCGCGCCAGGTGCGCCACGTTCGGGGCACGTGCAGAGTGTGTCAGGTGTGCCTGCGCACTTGACAGCACACGTCGGGAAACATGTCGGCCCCCACCATCCTTGTCGAAAACCGATGCCCATCATTGTGCCTGGTGGGCCTGCGCACAGCAGACCATACGCCACCACCCCCGCCGTCCCTGTCAAGAATCATGTGACAGTGATCGCAGGGTGGCCGCGCATGATCCAGATTTAGCCGTGACGTGTAGGTTGTAAAGTTTTTGTGTTAGGGATGGTAGCTCTGCGCACAGCAGACAATATGCTGACACCCTCGACGTCCCTGTCGAAAACAATACGAAGTGCTCGCGGGCCTCACGAACATGACTCAAGACTTTGCCCAAAAGCGTACTTGGCATGGTTTTTGTTTCGGCAAGGATGGGGGTTGGGAGGGGGGGGGCGTATCGAGTTGGCCGCACATGCTCCAACTGTGAAGACAGGCTGCGTTTTGCATAGTTTCTTCATGACAAAGATGGTGAGGGGTGGGAGCATGGTTCCTGGTTGGCTGCAGGTCGCATGGGGGCTGGGGTGTGTAGGAATAGGGAACAGTGATAAACCCACACCCTTAGGGGAAGCAGGGAGTTGGAAGAGGAAATTCTAAACCACTCACGCCGTAAAGGGCTTGTGGGACTTACACCAGATGACAGCCCCACGTAGTTTACATACCTACCATGCAACAGTGTTTGGTGTTCACGCTGGCCAGCAGTTATCATTTTCTCTTTCGATACTTGTTGTGGACCCGAGGACACTCCATGCAGTGTTTCCAACGGCGGCAGAATACATCACGATTCCCGGCGAATGTGGCGTGGAGAGTAGGTGGTCTTGAGACCGATCGGTTTGAACCTATGTTTCGTGCTTGTACTCCGCAAGCTGTCAGTGGGAAGCTGTTTTGAGCGAGCGGGGTCTTTGTGGATGACGCTTGGCTCGTACGGCTCGCGCCTTTCTTGGTTGTGCCCTTCGAGAAGGGTCGTCCCGGCCAGCCTCTGGCACGGCACCTGGCCAGCCCATGTTTGTTTGTTTATATATATATATATATATACCCATCGGTCGTTGAAGTAGGGCAAGTAAGTATTTTTGGATCCCCAGATTCCAATCTACTTTCAGCGCCTTCCTACTTCAAGAGTCGAGTGGTTTTCCCTCTTCCCTCCTCTTCAGGAGGCGGGCGGAGACCCAATCTATTTCCAACGCCTTCCTACTTCATGTTTGCAACTACTTCTTCCGACCGGTGGGTATAATGTATATACATATATATATATATGTGTATATATAGAGATGTATCCGTAAGGGCTTCGCCCCCATGCCGCGGGCCCCATGCCGCCAGCCCCGATGCAAAAGCTAAATCATGAGGTCTGGGCGCCGCCGTAAAGCAGTGTCGGGACCTGTTTGTTTTTCGACCCTGACCCGACGGATCTGCGTCACGGGTGCCACCGAATTTCAGAAATGTGGCAAATCCCTTGTGTTTTTGGACCCTGACCCCGCCGATCTGCATGAGGGGTGCCGCCGAATTTCAGAAATGTGGCAAACCCTATGAGTTTTTGTTCCCTGACCCCGCCGATCTGCATGAGGGGTGCCACCGAATGTCAGAAATGTGGCGAATCCCATGTGTTTTTGCATACTGACCCTGCCGATCTGCGTGAGGCGTGCCACCGGATGTCAGAAATGTGGCGAATCCCATGTGTTCTTGGACCCTGACCCCGCCGATCTGGGTGAGGGGTGCCGCCGAATTTCAGAAATGTGGCGAATCCCAAGTGTTTTTGGACCCTGACCCGCTGATCTGCGTGAGGGGTGCCACCGAATGTCAGGAATGTGGCGAATCCCATTTGTTTTTGCACCCTGACCCCGCCGATCTGCGTGAGGGGCGTACATTTTTATTCACCCCAGCAATTCAGACAATACGTTTTAGGTGTGGTAAAAATGCCCGTTTGGGGCCCCCCCTCCTCGCGCGGTCCATCAACAAGGAACAGTAAGCAGCAAGAAGTCAACAAGGATCAGCAAGCAGCAAGAAGCAGAACTGTAACAGTGTAAACTGGAAGCTGAAACTGGTACATGAAACTGCGAAGCTTCGTCCTACAGCCTGGTGGCCCCACAAGGGGGCTGGCGGATATGTATTAAAAAACATGCCGTTTAGCATAGTTTGACAGCAATGTTTGATCGGTCTCTTTTCGCAGGCAAGCGTTTTTCAAGTGGCTTACGCCACTCCGCCGACCCCTAGAAGAGGGAGGAAGTCCACCGGTGAGGCCTTGTGGGGCCTCTTGAGGACCCTCTGGGGGCCTCTATTGGGCCTCTTGGGGGTCTCGGAAAATCAGTTGGTTTCCCTTCGCAGGTCAGAGGATTGGTCAAATACCGAAGGCCAATAACGCTGCATTGCCTCCTGAGGGCCTCTTGGACGCCCTCTTGGAGCCCTCTTGGGACGTCTTGGAGACCTCCCGGGCAGTCTTGAGTGCATTCTTGGGCATCTTGGGGCCCTCCTGTACCGTCCCCAGGCCTTCTGGAGCAGTCTTGGGACCGTCTTGGGGGCCTTGCGGACCGTGTTGGGGCGAAAGTGGCTGTCTTTGGGCATTGTGGGGCTTTCCTGGAGGGGCCTGGACGCAAAATAAAGCGCTGGAGCGGACATTCTGGGGGGGAGATTTTCGAAGGATGGTCGCTGAGATGGGGGAGGGGGAGGGGCGGTCCTACAAACACTAGGGACATCTTACCAGACAACAGAGGAAGGTTCATTCACTTCTAACACGCACACCCCGTGCAGGCACGATGGCGATTATGTTTGTCCAACTTCCGGACAGGTCTGCACACGCACACGTTCCCGTCATCTTCATCAGCACCATCGATATCATCATCGTCCGTAGCCATGTTGGTTCAGGCCGCTTGGCTGAAACTTGTCGCCGAAGTATTGAACGTTGCAGATTGATGCGTCTTGCCTTGTGCATGGCTTCTCCACTTGTGTGGCTGCCCTTTGCATGGCCTGTCTTGCCGTTGCACGGATTGCGACGGAACCAGCCAGGAATTGAGACACGCGATCGTTATTGTTCGATGTCATGTGCATGTGGCGCCTGAGACTACGTTCTTGTGGCCCCATGCATTGGGAAAGGCCGTCTAAATCCACGCTATGATGCCCGCGCTAAACACATGTTGACAGATATTTTTGACGAGGGCTCTCTTCGAACAACCCATGGCAAATGGATTGCGTATGACAATGTCATGCAAGACCTCACCACGAACAGTATCAGTGCTTCGTTCTGGTGTGCTCACAATGGAAGTTCTCAAAGTGGCTGCCATAATGATTATCAGATATCGGTGCGCCCGTCTAAGTTGAACACGAGGGCTTACACATCGAAGTATGGGCTAACCATGAACGGTGTACACCGCATATGGGGGACAAATGACGTCCTTGCAGTTTTCAAGTACCACAAAAAAGATGCTTCCCGCATCTCGGCAGCATAGCCAGTAGCAGGACAATCGGCAATGACGTTTCCTGGGGCTTTGCAAGCATAAAGTAAGCGACTTGCCGCGCAACTCGGATTGGTGGATGGGCGCACGGCAATTCAGTGGAGGAGTGAAGCTGTTGGGCATTACAAAGGATGAGCAGAGTCGTTGGCAAAGTTTGCAATTATAACACGTTGTTGATTTCTGATATTGCGCCCGATACGAATACGAACTTGTGGAATGATCGGGACAGTGCATGCGTTGACCAACAGCAGCACGCATTCAAGTATTTGCTCGAAAGAGGGATCCGCAAGTTGGGCCAACTCCCTGAGATCAGAGAAAAACATGTTGATACTGGTATGCTATCGCTCTTCGATTTTCTCCTGGGAGCCGAGGCGAGCTATTTCTATACACGCGTCAGTGGAGATTGGATATGCAAGGCTTGCATGAGGACGCAATCCGCATTCGCCCGGGCCATTATCAACGAACGCCAAAAAACACAAGTTCTCTCTAACATTTTGGTCACAGTTGAAAGTGAAGGTGGCGAACCGGGGTGGGATCGAAGATGACGATTGCCCTGCGCAGACGGCGCCAAATTTCACCTTGTCCGTATGTCCGACATTCGAGCGCGAGGTCCGGCGAGTTTTCTGACGAGGCATTGGGGGGTAGGTCATCCGTTGCGCACTGGGCGCGCTGTTGACCTGGCAGGAGCTGAGGTACCATCGATATCACCATCGTCGTCGTCATCGTCTCCACCGACGTTATGAACACCGCCATCGCCATCGTCTTTGTCGTCGCCCTCGCCGTCAGCAACAACACCATCATCATCGTAACCATCATCGTCATCATCAGCATCAGCATCATCATCAGCATCATCATCGTCATTGTCATCATTATCACCAGCAACATCAGCATGAGCATGTTCTCGAACGTTGTTGCCATTCTGTCCTCCCGCGGCTATTTTTGGCCCCGTCCAGATTCGCTCAAGGTTAGTTCGTGGGTGGCACATGTCAGTTGCGGCGCACGTCTCGCTCAGGGCCTCCTGAACCTCCGAGGCCTTCACGGCGACAGATTGGACTGAGCGTATTGGGAAGCATACGGCAAATGTGTGTTTCCTATCTCCAATGGAAGGGGTTCTTGTTATCTTGTAAGTATAAGGAGTGGGGCTCTTACTATCATTCAGACCGCGCCAAGTCCCTCACCTTTTCCTCCTGCTCTTCCTTCTCACAGTAGGTGATGTCCTGGTGTGGCAGGTTATGTAACGTGCTGATATCTTGTGGTATGTTATGTTGTGTTGTGGTATGGAATGGCATGTGGTTCCCCATGCTCGAAGGATACTGTTCCCGTTCCCATATCCTAACCTTGGGCTTTTGTTTCCCATATCCAAAGGATGGGGTTCTTGTTATTATTCTGACCGCGCCGACTCCTTCCTCACACCTTCTTGCGAAGGGAAACGAAGGGAACACCTCATTGGTTTTCCTTCTCGTGCCCTGCTTCCCCTGACCGTCGGAGGTTGGGGGATGACATCGCAGTAAAATGGAGAGCCCCCCACCGGGAAATCGGTTTGGGTTTCGTGCTCGTGTCTTACGTGCAGTCGAGGCTAAATTGCGTGCCGTCTCGAGAGGAATGTTCCCGCCGTCGGTTGGGCGATTCGGATGCAAAGGTTCAGCCCTCTGGTGGGCGCGCGATGGCTGGGGCTGTCCCGCCGTGGTGTCCCGCGGTGTCTCGCCGTGGGCGCGCGAGAAGAATGTTCCCGCCAACGCTGGGGCGATTTGGATGCCAGAGTCCGGCCCTGTGGTGGGCGCGCGGTGGCTGGGTGTGTCCCGCCGTGGTGTCCCCGCATTGTCCCGATGGTGTCCCGCTGTGTCCCGCCGTGGTGTCCCGATGGTGTCTCGTGATGTCCCAGTGGTGTCCCGTGCTGCCCCGTGGTGTCCCAGTGGTGTCCCGTGGTGTCCCGTGGTGTCCAGTGGTGTCCCGCGGTGTACCGCCGTGGTGTCCCGAAAGTGTCCCGATCGATAATGCGATAGATAATGACCGAGATGTGGTGGGAGCGGTAGTGAGATCGATAGTTGGATCGACAGTGAGGTCAAGGGTAAAGTGAAATCGATTGTTGAATCGATCGTGCGACTGGTAGTGATATCGATAGTGAGATCGGTATTTGCATCGATAGTGCAATCGATCGTTTGGTCGATAGTTTTATCGATTGCGAGGCCGACAGTGAGATCGATAGTGGGGTCGATAGTGACATCGCGGCGCAACATCGTTATCACGCGCCTTCGCCAGCTCGAAGGCGCGCCACCAGAATGGTCATCGTCACACCCATCGCATTTGCTTGCAGTCGATTCTTTTATCCTCCCCCAAATCTCTTTGTCACCTGAAGGGTGGTCGTATACGTAGTCCTGGGCAGCATGCGCTCACGGCCCCGACAGGGAGGAGAATGAGTACGAAGAGGATGAGGACGACGACGATTATGAGCAGATCGAGGAGGAGATGGAGAAAAGTTGTGGTGGAGGAGGGGCATCGGAGATGGCAGCGCAATGTCTGGCCAGATGCTGTTTCGCAGCCAGGGACGCGCAGCGGAGCTGAATTCCCAGGCCCACTCCACGGCGTCGCTGAGTCTAGTCCGTACGAGCCCGCAGAGCTGGAGCAGATGCTCAGGATTGGGCGGAGGGCGAGGCAGGGCGGGTGCAGGCGGAGTGGGAGAAGAAAGATGGTCCCAGTCGGCCTCTTGGTATTTGCTGTGTGGGGGATGCGCATTCCCCAGTCTGCCTCTTGGTCTGGCTGTGTTTGGGGTTGGCCTTCCCCAGGCAGCCCCATTGGTACCTGTGTGCTTGGGTGAAGCATCCCCAGTCTGCATCTTGGAAATGGCTGTGTAGGGAGGTGCCTTCACCAGCCATCTTGTTGTCTGGTCGCGGCGAGTTGGAGCTCAGACCTGGACATAGAGGTTGGCGTGTGTGTGTGTGTGTCTCCAGGTTTGCCTTCTTTGCTAGAGTGTTGCATGTGATCGCGTCCTCGTGTGAAGGTAACTCGCACGAATACTACGAACAGTGGGCGTCGTAGTTTGAGTACGAGTGACTCGTGGGAGGTAGACAAGCGACAGAGATGGACGGATTACGTGCCTGAAGTCGCTTGCAATTAAGAACTATGTATACCAATACGCGCACACACATGCTTATACACGTACGCACACACCCACACTTACACGCATGACGATGCATACGCAAATGACTGTGTGCATGTATATGTAAGTGGACATGTAAAATCAAACTCGTAGTTACATGCGCAGGTGTTGTTATACATTGATATGTACATGTATGCGGTATGCACATGCGTGAACCCGTTCGTAGATGCAAATGCGTATGCATACATATATACATATATATACACACACATGTCATTGCGGATCCACACACATATGTGTATAGGTGTATGCATGTTTGCACATTGGCGATGCAGATCTATGCTCATGCACATTTACGTCTTTGTTGCACACGTACATATGTAGTAAGTGCGTGTGTCATTTTGAATACGTATGCATATGTTGTGCATGCATATACACATACATATGCACATGCATGAGATCGAGGTCGCGGCTTCGTTGCCCCAAGGGCCGCGACCTCGACCCTAGATGGGTGACCCGGTGGGGCATATCTCTATGTGTAGATGTATGAGGCATGCGGTTGTCTGTTTATGACTGTGTACGCATGTATGTATGCATGCATTTATGTGTGTATGGTTGTATGTCATTATGTATGCATATATGTATGTATGCAGGCATGCATGTATGTATGTGTGCATAGGTGCACGTATCTAGTCTTATGTGTATGTATGCATGCATGTTTGCATGCATGCATGCATAGATATTTGTGTGTATATGTCTGTATGCTTGCATGTATGTACGTATGCATGCATGCCTGAGTGCATGCATGCCTGAGTGCATGCATGCATGCATGTATGTATGCATGTGCATATATATATATATGTATATCTATATATACACATAAGGGCTTTGGATACAATCCGCCACCGTGCCTGGATTGAGGAGGATCAGTGTCCTCAGGGATGCTTTTGTTGGTCTATTCGGAGCGTTCGTGGACCTCTTGGGCACAGTTTACGGGTCTGTCGGGGACACTATAGAGCGATTCCCGCGCGCCGGACACTGGACACCGGACACTGGACACTTGGATCGATGCCCTGCTTACTATTGACATGCCAAGATTCGATCTTGGTTGAACAACTTCACAGACAGACACCACCTTCAAGTTTGCAATCTAGTTGCTATGTTGTTTTCGCGCCGACTTATACGTTTCCGGTTTTTTTAACGAAGTCGGTTCCCCAAGTGTTTTGATAGTAACACTGGGCTACGGACCTCAGAATCTGACAGGCCGACGCGGCATAACCCACTACAGGTGCTAAAAATACTGGTTCTCAAAACGAGGGATCAAATCTCTCACAACGTCGCCCAACCGACGTGCTTGTCGGTGCGCTTGCATCTTGGTTCGATTGCTTGGGTCGCCAGTGAAAACGGTGTTGCAAGACGCGGCCCTTGGAAATGGGGACGGCCTTCGGGCCAGACCATACGCCGATATTTTACACGCACACATGTATATACACATATATATATATGTGTATATATCGGCCTTAGCCGTGCTGGATGAGATGCGCTTTTGGCGTTCCGGCTGCGAACGCAACAAGAAGAAGAGGGGAGGGGGAGAGGGAGGGAGCGGAGGATGATAAGCAGGAGCAGGAGGAGGAGCAGGAGGAGGCAGGGCGAGTGCAATTTCAGGGGGAGGGCGCAAAGATGACTGTGAGGGCGAGTGAAGAGGCGTGTGTGGAGGGGGGGGGGTTAGAAGAGGACGAGGAGATGGACGACGAATGCAGTTGAGGAATAGAGGGGGGGGAGAGGGAAGAGGATGATGATGATGAGGAGGAGGAGGAGGTGAAGGAGGCGAGGTATGCTGAGAGGAGGAGGATCACGAGGGGGAGGAGGAGGAGGAGGAGGACGACGACGAGCGGGAGGAGGAGGAGGTGAAGGTGAGGAGGAAGAGGAGCAAGTGGAGGAAGAAGGAGAAGGAGAGGAGGAGGAGGAGTAGGAGGAGGAGGAGGAAGAGGCGACGGAGGAGGAGGATTAGGAGGAGGAGCGCCGAGGAGGGTGGAGGGCGAAGGGCGCTGAACAGGAGGAGGAGGAGGAGAAGGAGGAGGAGGAAAGGGAGGAGGAGTCCCACGCCCTAGCCCACATCGTCCTCGCCGACACCGTGCGCTTTCCGACATCGCCGACCTCGCCGTCGTCATTTTACTCACGTTCCCAAGTGTTCTCGTTCTTCCGCCTCGTCCTGGCCCGCATGGTCGGCTCACTCCTGCTCTTTGTTGCCATCGCTCCCCCAGTATCCTCCTCCCCCTCCTCATCCTCCTCGTCCTCCTCCTCGTCATCCACCTCCTCATCCTCATATTCCTCCCTCCTCCTTCTGCTTCTCCTCCTCCGCCATTTTGGCTCAAGGAGATAAGACATTGCACGGCGCCCCTAAAACATCCCTGTTGCACGGCGCCCTAAAACATCCTTGTTGCACGGCGCCTCTAAACCATCCATATTATATTTCCCCTCCTCCGCCTCCTCCTCCTCCTCATCCTCTCTTTCCTCCTCCTCATCCTCCTCCTTCTCCTCCTGCTCCCCCTTCTCCTCCTCTTCTTCCTGCCCCTGTTCCTCATCTTTCTTCTCCTGCTCCTCAGTCTCTTCCTCGTAGTCCTCCCCCTCCTCCGCCTCCTCCACCTCGTCCTCGTAATCCTCCTCCTCCTTCTCCTCCTCCTTGTCCTCCTCCTCTTCGTAATCCTCCTCCTTTTCCTCGTCTTCTCCTCGTCCCACCCCCTCCCTGCTGACAGCCATTCCGCTTCGCTGCTCTGTGCTCCAGCAAGGACGCCACAGGTATATGAGAGCTCGGCTTCAAACCTGACGGGATCAGGACCTGCGAAACTTCATCGCGGTCTGCGGTGAGGTAGATGCAAGTTGCCAGGACACGCGATGCATCGAATATCTCGGGGTTCTCTCGAACCCAACACCGATCAAACGCTGGAAACATCTCCAACGTCTCCCAAAAGCGAGCACGGAGGTCCCTACGCAAACCCAAAACAACACTTGTCCAAAAGACAGCCCACCTGGACCCGAAACCATTACAATATCTCCCATGTTAACAGACCTGCATCTAATCTAGCAGGATTTTGCCGTCCACGCGTCATCGAGCCCTTCTAGATTGTACACGGACCCCAGCGAAGCCGACATTTCTTGCTAGGATTTCGGTGCTCGAGGAGATCGCACCGATGGAGCAGCGACTTCAAATCCCACAGATGCTGCAACACAACTTCCTCCATTACGTAACCCACGGTCGTAGGCCAACGTGCTGTTGCGCTCATCAGCAAAGCGCTTTGAAATCCGGTGCTTTCTCTCGCACAGGAAACATGATATAAGGCACTGGTCCCGCAGAAGCTGGCGCGGGAGGTGCGTCGACCAATGGCTCCTGGGCCTCCACAGCTCCAAACCGTAGGCCTTCTTCTGCACATTGAAATGGTCGATGATCGCCTCTCCCAGCTCCACTGGGGAGACTGAACCGCCGTTCGCGCGGTGCAGACAGTCCATGATTCCGCACAGCTTGAGCATGCGATCGACGTGGTCGCGGAGTACGCCCCGCGGCTTCACAGTATCTCCCAAGTATTTGTCAAGAGCTGGGCACAAGCTGATATACTCTGATGCCTCCCCCTGGCGTGCAAGCGGCGTTGCCGGCGCATCTATTGCGCGTGTTTGCGTCCGCGCCACGCCACACCCATACGCTCAGACAAAAATCAGTCAGCCTCTTGCCTCCAAGCTCGGACGGCGAGCCGAAGAGAGCTTTGAAATCGATCTGGAAGATGCCTCCAACCACAGAGACGCGCATCCAGTCCCAGCTCCACACATCTACTTTTCGAAGGGCGATGGGCGGGTCAGGGGGACCCCCGATTCAACGTACCCCCACCCAAGTGCCGTTTCTAGCGCAGCCAACTTGGTCTTGAAAGTGTCATGCGTGTGTTTCAAATTCGTCTGAATGCTGTGCAACGGCTCGTTGGTTGCTCTCTCGAACACGGTGGGGTCCAAGTTGGCTGCGTTCTGAAAGTAGCCCGTGCCGTCGGGGAGCCATGACGATGCGTGCGTTGCAGCATTGACGCACAAGGCGCGCACCCTGTGCCCCGTCGCCCCCATGCGCGGGAACGCGAACTTGTGCGCCCGCTCGTCCTGCACGGCCTGGGCGAGCCAGCCGAACAGCAGCTTTTTTGGGGGAGTGGGCACGACGCAGGCGGATCGAAGCTGGGGTGGGTGCTGATCCCCCCCACCCCACCTTTCCTCTCCCATGGGCGTGTGCTGACCCCCCCATGAGCAGGTTTGCGGGCAAGTGTTGATCTTTACTTTTCCTTACCTCTTTCGCAAACGCCACCCCTCACCCGAACCCCTACTCATCGTCTACGTTGGCTTCCTCGTCCTCCACCGCCTCCGAGCCCTCGGCACATGCCCTCGCCCTCCGTCCTCTTCCGTGCCCTCCCCTTCGCGTGGCCTCCTCGACCTGGGGCGAGGGGAACGGTGGGGTGCGTTGTGTTTTGCGAAGCAGCCTCGGCCGCTCTTCGCCTGGCACTTGGGG